GAAGACAGCCAGCGGTAAGTGCGATGACGCCGCAGCACCTCAATGGCCTTGAGTTCCAGCGGTGTTACCTGAATACCAAGGTCTTCTAAGCCGGGCAGGTGAGGCAGTATCATGTCTGTGATGTGAATCTTTGAACAAACAAAAGGCCATAGAGAATGCTGAAAACTGGCCGAGAACACAAAGTGCTATCCTAGCAAACATTTAAACACTCAAGCTAGCCTGAGTGCCATTACTGAGACTTAATTTCTTCCAAAGAATACGTGGCAATTTTTGATTCATACAGCTCAATAAAGTGGAACACACAAAGACGGCTTAAGAAAAAGGAAAGGCAAGATCACCAATAATCAGATCAAGGTCCCCAGAGGTAGGCACGAGCACAAGACATTGGCACTAGATGAGCCATTCCACATACAGATTGAAAGACGTAAATCTACAGCAGGAAGCACAAGTCACCACATTTGCCAGGGGAGGCTTAACAGGAGGGTTCAGGAATAAAAATGAGCTAGTCCCTTCCTCAGTTCTCTCTTGTGCCTGTTCTCTGAGTACAGGCATTCTGACTCAGTTTTAACTTTTGAATTAAGAAGATAATGTAGCATTTGTTCCTTGCTCATTAAAAAATAAGCCATTAACTTTTTCTGCTCCAGCTAGACTAACCCAGCTGATTAATGCTCACTAAAGAGCTAGAAAACCAAACCCATCTTGTTTGTAGGGAAGAATGAACTGTAAGGCTTCCAAAGATCCGGATTATCCAACAGCACGTAAACGGAATCAATTTGCATCTGGAGCAGCATCAATCCCTCATCCTACCCACCCGAAAGCCTGCAATTCTTTTACCAGGGTGCTGTAAGGCCGTCTCAAAACCAAATCCAAACCCATTCAGTCCCTTGCACCAACGCTTTCTCAGTTATAAATGTGAGGGACATCAGTATAAGATAAACTGAAGTGTCAGTTTTCCTGCCCAATCTTTCATGAACACAGAAGGGACATCACGGAAATGGCCTCAGCTTTCCAGACACAGCCTGTCTGGTGGGAGGATGAAGCTGCCCATTCACATCCATTCCCTAAGGACTATTTTCTCATCTTCTCTACACTTTAGCTTTCTGCTGCTGTTTAGAGGACAGCTCGGCTGTTTCTCATAAATATATGGTCCACAGGTCTTCAATAGTAGAGATGGTATAGTAATTGGTATAGTACTTTTATTTTATTTTGCATCCTCCCCAGGAGCATGTGCACGTGCACATGAGATGAAGTCTGAGAAGTGACTGTTGAATGTGGCAGCATGGAGCTCATGGGTGACCTTGGAAAGAGCAGTTTTAGGGGGAAAATGGTAATAACAGCATGATGAGAGTGGGTTAAAGAGAGAATGAAGTAAGAAACTATGAATAGCAGGTATGGACAGCTCTCTTGAGGTGTTAGGATATGAGAAGGGACACAGACAAACAGGAACGAGGCTGAAAGAGCTATAGGAAGAAGAGAAGGTGGGACCTTGAAAAGAAGGTGGGACAGGGGAGGGCAGCTTTATGCATGTTCATGTGTTGCTAGGAATGATGCAGCCGAGACAGAAATACCCATAATATCAGAGAGAAGGTAATGGAGGAGCCACTCCCTGGAGCAGGACGAGAGTGGGTGAGTTTCCGCGCTCTGGTAGAGAGGCTGACCTCAGACAGCAGGAACGCCCAACAGACAAGAGCATGGAAATATCGAAGCAAGCAAACAGAAATACATTTTAACTCCTCCGTCTCTGCAGCTCTCCGCCCAGCGTCTCCCAGGCAGATGCTGCAGCACATACACTCACCCGCTCCACTTTATCCCTTGTTGTCCAGGGCTCGAATGGGCTCATTTCAAAGACTCTTGCTACTAATCTGGAAAAAGGAATATATATGGCACATGTGATAAGCATCTGTATGCCCAATATTTAAACTAGGAACCTACAGGAACCACAGAAATAGAGGCTACTACAGAAGCAGGAATTCGCTGATTTTTTTTCCTAAGAAAATAACCAATATCTTAGCACCATTACCCATGAGGCTTTTTAGTCCCTGTTTCCTTTCAAGCCAACCTGGCTGACTGCTCTAAGTGCTGGCATACCTTGTTATCCTCCAAAGAGACAACAGATTTGGAAACTTAAAATGAAATAAAACCAACAAAAAAACAAAGCAAACAAAAAAGATCCAACATTCAATTAAGTCTGTGAAATTCAATGTAATCTAAGCCTTGGATACTCAAATATGCTGTTGTTAAGGTTGCAGGGCAAGCTGAGTGGTGCATGCAATATAAAACTTAATTCCTAAAAGCAGGGGCTCCTGGAAACAAAAAAATCCAAAAGCAGCATAAGATCTATAATTCGAATCAGGAAGAGAATATAGATCCTCTTTTGATTGCCGCCATCTCTGCACTGCTAATGAAAACTGAGGGGCTCCACACCTGCCACCTGAGCTCCGATCATAAGTATTCTCAGGGCAGTGGGTTTTTCTTTTTCTTTTCTTTCTTTCTTTTCTTTTCTTTTCTTTCTTTCTCTCTCTCTCTCCTCTCTCTTTCTTTCTTTCTTTCTTTTCTTTCTTTATTTTTTTTATAGAGACAGGGTCTATCTGTGTTGCCCACGCTGGTCTCTAACTCCCAGGCTCAAGCAATCCTCTGCCTTGGCCTCCCACGTAGCTGAGACTACAGGTGTGCGCCACCACACCTGGGGGCCGTAGGTTTTAAACTAGCATCTGAGGAACCCTAGGAATTCGCTGGGGCCCTACAGAGGCCTGGGGGTCAGGGGTTGGGAGTATACGCTCAGCATCACCCATCACTACAACCAGACCAGCTCCGCTCTTATCTCATTTACCTAGTGGGTCTTTATGTAAAAACTCAGGGAATACAGGGTTCCACGGCTTTTTACAAGCTTGAAAAACATCGTCCCAATGGATGGTATAACTAAATGAGAAAGGAAACTGGTGAGAATTTCTCCAGCAACATACATAGTCTCAGAATCCAGTCAATGGCAGAAAAGGGTAATATATTGGGCTAACACAGCTTAATTAAAACACCCTTTACAAAACTCCAACTCTCTGTGCTCTGGTTCCACACTAACATACTGTTTCTGGTCTCTATTTTAGTGTCCTCAGCAGATCACGCCATGGCATATGCCAGCTCCACCTATAACTCACTTCTATGTACAGCCGTGCCCACTGCAGCCTGGCTTATACATCCTCCACTGCACCGAAGCCAGTCACAAATGGTCATTTGTAGATATTTTTTGGTCCTTTATATTATTTGACTTTTCTGTAGCACTTCATTCCACAAATATTCACAAAGTGCCTTCTGTGCCAGGCATTGTTCCATAAGCTATAGACCCAAACTAACGAAACAGCAACGTTCCCCTTCTTAAAACATCCATTCCCTCCATTTCTTCCTTAAAACACTCCCTTCCTTTTGGTATCTAGACTTCCAAACTCTCTTCATTTCCTACTCTTCCTCTCTGTCTAATCACTCTCAGTCAGCCTCCTCGGTAAGTTTCTCCTACTCCGTGGGTCCTTTAATGGAGGTATTCCCCACACTGCGATAGCCCTCTTTTCTACTCACTCTACAAACTCTCCCTACCACTTTATAGATCGCTGTATTAAATGAGACAAAGTAAATAGCTTCAGAAATAAAACACTCTCAATAAATATTGTCATCACACTATATTCTAACTGGTTGTCTATTTTTCTGATACCCCCACTAGACCATAAGCTTTTTTAGAGTTTACTATAACATCCTGAGTACCTAGTACATTGCCTAAGACGTAGGAGGCAATCAATAAATATTTGTTGAATGAGGCCACGAAAAACAAATGAAGGAGTGAATCGCCAAGTTAGTTCACAAATCAGTCTGTGGCACACTAGATGTCAAAGTCTCCCTGACCAGATCACTAGGGTGTAACATGGTAAATCCAAGATTTTAAATCCTCAAAGGGAGGTAGCGAACCAAGAAGCAGGGAAGGAAGAGAAGGCAACCACAAAGCCAACTCTGAATCAGCTGGCTCCTTTCTCCAGCTACATGATCAGACTGATGGAGTGAAAAAGAGGCCTTGTCCCACTTCTGAGTGAGTGATAGGAAACAGGAAACCTGACTGTTCCCTTATACAATCTGCCAAGCATGACACTGCTCCAAAACTAAACTCAGTGGTTTTTAGTTGGAGAATCTGAAGAACTTCAAATTTAATCTCCCAACACACACTGTATTCTTATCCTCACTGATCTATTGATTCTCCCCTAGGGACTCCCCTAGACACTAGGAGCCCCACTTAGTTAGGGATTCAGAGAGTAGACCCTCACAGTAACAGACATACTCCCTACGATCCTAAGGGAGGGCATTAGAACGAGTGTATAGAGTTTGCCCTTTTTAGAAGGCACACAAAAGCAGCATTCTACTTACCGATAGGCAAAACGTGGCAAGGGGTATGGGAGGAAGGGCCTGTGAGCCATGGCAAAGATATACTGCACCAGGTCAAAGAGGAGGTACCGATTTGGCCTGCAAAAATAAAATACAAAGTTCTTCAATTTATTTGCTCCTCACAAATTTTCTTTTTCAATAAAATAACATTTTTCCTACAAAAAGGAAACATACATACACTGTAGTAAATACAGATTAGCACAAAGAAAAATCACCCATAATTCATTACCAAAGATAAAGTTAATATATTTGATATATATCCTTCTCATCCCCTTACACATACATTTTTTGTTTTTATAAATATAAG